ATTGTTAATTTTTGAAGCAAGCGAGTGAAGAAAAGAACACTTGAAAATACCATGTTGTTTAACATAGCTTGCAATGGATTTCGAAAAGGATAAGCTTTTTGAAGCTAACTATCACGCCAGGAAAATGAAAATTTTTGAACAAGTTTTGATGGCTTGAATTCCTTAGCAAAATTGAAATACAAATTTATGAAGGGAGCTATTCAAGCAATGAAACTTCAAACTTAAATTTAATCTGATTGCCTACATTGGCGTGCTTAAACTTGAAAATTAATGAGGCACGTTGTTTGCTGGCATCAATACATTTGGGAAAGCTTGCTAGGCAGAAAATTTTTAAAAAATGGTAAAGGGAGCTATGAAGCTATCAAAGGGAGCTATGAAATAATTGAGCTATTTTGATTGTGTGAACAATCAACCCGCGAAAAATTTCTCACTTAATTCAAATTTTTTTTGGAGCAAGCAAGTCAATTACTGGCAACTTGATACAATTCAATTTGTTTTGATAGCTCTCATTGGTTCTCGAAATGTTGAAGCGTTTGGAATCAAACTATTCAAGCGATGAAACTTTGAACCAACTCAGTTTGCTTTCAACCAATTCAGCGGAATTAATTGATTCGTTGAAGGCTGAAGCAAGCTTTTTATGGATAAAAGTAGTGGACATTTGCTAGATTTTTTTAAGCAAAAGACTCGAGCGTTGGAATTTAGATAACATCCATTTAAGTTGATAGCTTAAATTGATTAGACATAGTATCAAATTTTTCAGGAAATGTAACTTTGACACATTGTTTTTTTTGGATGACTTGAATTGATTCGCAACAACTTGTTGCGAGTTATTCAAGAGATTATATTTCGTGAGTCACTTTTTGGATTTTACTACTTAGTGCAGATCAAGGGAAATTTCGGGTACATGTTTGAATCCGTGAGATGTACAAAAAATTTCATTAGGGAAAACAAAGGATTTACTGACACTTCACTATTATTTATCAAAGATATTTACCCTTGTGATAAGCAAGGGAATTGCAACCGTGTACTATATTTTTTGTCTGGTGTCCAGCTTTATTGGTGTTTTTTTGATGTCCATGAATTATTGACGTTATTGAAACATGGTGTAATATTATCGATATTAACCTGACCTGACGGCATGCTACTGAATTGAGCTAAATCTCCATAAAATGATGATAATAGCTCCAAAAAAATCGAATTCACTGATTTTTTTCTAATATTAACTCAAAATATATTTGAATAGCGGTTAGACCTTAAGTAGGCGTGCAATGTGCCTTTCGTCTATCCTTTTCAACTTTATGTACTAACTGAATGTTTAGATATCAATTGTTTCTAACTAGTTAAAAATAACTTGACGAATGTAGTTTGTTTCAACTTGATTTTGGACAAATAATTTATTTTTCGTTTTCTAGATGCGTAAACATGTTTTCATAGATTTTTGGTTCTAATGCACCTAAGAAATTTTTTTCAAGAAACTCCTAAATTCTTTGAATAAAAATTTTCTAACAAGTTATAAGATCGCTTTTTTCCAATTTTGACCTTGACTGATTTTTATCTACATTAACAGTATGTAAGTATCGCGTAAGGGTCAAGAGTTTGGATGCACCTGGTTCCAATTTTCTAGAAGTTATCTGCTTATTTGCTTCGTGTGTATTTTTTCACGCAAAAGCAGGTACCACAAAGTCGAGTCATTGGGTCGAGTGATAAATCAAAGCGCTTTCAGTCGTGATTCGAACTACAATCAGAACTTATTTTAAAAATTGACGAAGTCTAATTTCGAGAGAATACAGCCTACGAACAGGCCTCAAAAAGGGCAATAATTTTCTGATCAGGCCAGAACTTTGTTTTACTAAACCGAATAAATTTTCGAACATTTTTTTGGCCCCTTGGAATGAAAAAAAAAAAGAAAACTGTTCGAAAAACAGGTTTTGTTTTCAAGTTTTAATTACTGTGCTCGAAGAGATTTCTGTGACTCTAGCGCAGCAATTGGTTGCCCTTGATTCATTTATAATTTGTTTCTATCAATGCGCGCATTTTTTTCGCATGCGGTTGTATTCAGTTTATCTTTTCATTTGTGATTTTTATTCATTGTCAGATTTTTAAAAATTGTATTTTCATTTTGTTTTCAACTTTGAAGATTTTTTAGCAATCAAGGTAATTTTTGAAATTTAACACTTGAGTTTCTGTTAAGTCTTCAATTTTTCCACTTAGTTATAGGGGAGAGATGACAGGAGGCTTTTGATCAGAAGTTCGTTTTTTTTTCATTATTTCTTTCTTCTAGTTATCTTATATTTAATTTAAAGTCATTTTGAACTGCTTTGGGAGCCATATTTATCATCTCACCACTCTTAAAATTTAAGAAATCGCTTTGAGTTAACACCTTCAAATTTCAAGATGAAGCAAGCTTGGAAAAGTCTAGGTCAAAAATCTAGATAGATTGTCTTGAAATTTTTAGCGCAAAGCAAAGAAGGACAGGGCAGCGTAATACAGGACAGGGCAAAAGGTAGACAGGGAGGGCAGCGTAAGGCAAGGGAGAGCAGGTCAGCACAAGGCAAGGAGGGGCAGGTCGGAGCAAGGCAATGAGGAGCATGGCAGCGCAAAGCAAGGTAGCGCAAGGCAAGGAAAGGCAAAACAGCGCAATACAGGGCAGGGAAGTACAGGGGAACGAAAGTAGGGGCAAGGCAAGGAGGAGTATTGCACCTAAAAGCAGCAGAGCAGCGCAAAACAAGGCAGGGCGGCGCAGGACAATGCAAGTCATGGCAGCGCAAGGCAAGTCAGCGAAGCGCAGGGCACAGTAAGGCAGGGTAGCGCAACGTAGGGTAGCGCATCGCAAGTCAGGGCAGCGCAACACAAGGCAGCGGAATAAGGGGCAAGACAGGTCAGCGCAAAGCAAGGCAGCGCTGCTCAAAACAAGGCAGTGCAGAGCAAGGCAATGCGGGGCAGCGTAAGGCAGCGGAAGGAGGGACAAGACAGGCCACCGCCAGGTAAAGCAGGATAAGTTCAAATTATTATCTTCATAATGGCAAAGCAAGGCAGCGCTGCTCAAAACAAGGCAGTGCAGAGCAAGGCAATGCGGGGCAGCGTAAGGCAGCGGAAGGAGGGACAAGACAGGGCACCGCCAGGTAAAGCAGGATAAGTTCAAATTATTATCTTCATAATGGCAAAGCAAGGCAGCGCTGCTCAAAACAAGGCAGTGCAGAGCAAGGCAATGCGGGGCAGCGTAAGGCAGCGGAAGGAGGGACAAGACAGGGCACCGCCAGGTAAAGCAGGATAAGTTCAAATTATTATCTTCATAATGGCAAAGCCATGCAGCGCTGCTCAAAACAAGGCAGTGCAGAGCAAGGCAATGCGGGGCAGCGGAAGGAGGGACAAGACAGGCCACCGCCAGGTAAAGCAGGATAAGTTCAAATTATTATCTTCATAATGGCAAAGCAAGGCAGCGCTGCTCAAAACAAGGCAGTGCAGAGCAAGGCAATGCGGGGCAGCGTAAGGCAGCGGAAGGAGGGACAAGACAGGGCACCGCCATGTAAAGCAGGATAAGTTCAATTTATTATCTTCATAATGGCAGTTTTTTACAGATTATTACACATTACACATTGGGAACTTAAACATCCTATTACAGTTCCAAATAATTAAAACCTGATTTTATAAACACAGCATGTCGGTGTTAAGTTTATTCTGTTACTTAGCTCAGTGCCCTGCAACCAACCTAGAAACTGCCCTGAGTGATGCAATTTTTTTTGCTTCATTCATATCAAAAGAACTATATAACTAGTTAAAGCAAGTGAAGCGAATAACTCCGGTGGAAAAGTGTCGAAAACGATCGAGCGATGTCTATTGAATACTGAACTATACTTAAATGCTCATTATTACTGATGCACGGGACACACATTTATCAAAGTGGTTCACTATCACTCTTCAAGGAATGGAAGCGGACTATGATGGTGAAGACCTTTTCTAGAGGAGGCGTAGGAATTAACAAAGCAATTGAAAATGTTAACTCTTTATTGGTTGAAATCATGCTTGGATTATTTTTTTCATAATTTGCGAACTTATTCAAGCTAGTTATTCAACTGCAAACGGTGTACCGTTCAATCGGTTGTATAATTCATTAAGAGAAATTGAATAGCAGAAAGATAGATCAGAAAGATAAATAAATTACCATCTTTAAAAAATCTTTCAAATTCAAATTGCAGTTTTTTGAAGATACATCATTCAAATCGAGATGAGAACTACTCTACTCCTGCTGTATTAAGCTTGCTTCTGATAAATGCTTACTTGATACGACCGGATCAATTCTGCTTAACCTGTTCATTAATAGTCAAAACTTATAAAATAGTTTAAACAGGGCGATTTGGAAAAAAAGGAGGCAAAGCGGAGCTTCGAATCACTTGCAATACCACAAAAATGACATTGCAAGCTAGCAGACAGGAGATGAGAGAACAACCACTAAGTCCAAAGAAAATGGGGGAAAAATTGAACAAACTACGACTAAAAAAACCTCAAAATGTTGTCTGGAATGATGATCTATTTCCGGAAAAAATGTTCAGACACACATTTGAAAAATACAATGAAAAATGCATGCAGCAAAAAAACTAAGATATCGCAACTAAGTCGACAAAACATGAGCAGACAAATACCAAGTCAACAATTCTCATTTGAAAGAAAAACAGGTCCTGGTCAGCTTCGAACCCAGTACCTTTGCCGTCCCAGGCGTATTCGTTACCTCCAGACTAAGGGTGCCGGAGACGGTTACAAATTTGACTTTATTATGGACCAAGAAACCGAGTTATTCTGTTAATTAAATTGTTAACCAGAAAAAGTCTATATTCCGGTGAAGAAGTTTGAAGATTGCGAGACATGTGTCAGACTCATTCAAGTGGTTGACTCTTAATTAATCAATTTGTGTATAATAAACAGAAAGCAAAAGTTTCAGTAACATAACTTGTACTGTAAAAAGGACATCTGATGGCGATGATGATTTTCTTTTTAAAAATTCCTGGTTTATGAATCGTTGAATGAATAGAAAAATTGTATTTCAATACTGTATTTCAAAATTTCAGTTTAAATGAGTTTTTAACTCGATCAATCAACTTTGCGGCACCTCTATTGTTTGATTCCTGGTTGTTTATCGTTTTCAACGAAGGCAGATTCATGTAATCATCTAAGCTATGACACGGCCTCTCTGCGATAATCTTCGAAACCTTTTGAAAATCTTCCAAATTCGACTTGGAAGCTGAACGACATACGTTATGGTCAACGTCAAGGGGATTCGCAACAATCAATGCGCTGGTTTTATTAGCATCCAAAAACGATTTTGATCTTACAGTACCTGTGCTAGCGTCAATTTTTTTGCTCTCAAAATCAAACTCGGCAATAAATTCAAAAAATCCATAGAACAAATCCTCTGTTTCTATTCGAGCAGCTGTGAAATTCTCCATCTGACATGGTAAAATGTCTCCCAAATCACGATTTTTAAAAAGCGATAATACTTCATTAAACGGAGGAATAACTTTTTTGTGCATCAAATAACAGAAGTAAATGACACTGATTTGAAATGTAGTCAGATAACCGGGCTTGTAGGAGGCTGTTATTTTAAACTTCTGTAAGATTTGCTTAATAATTGCGAATACTGGCACAATAGATGGATTGAATAGAGAATAAAAGTAACTCATTTTCGACTGTACAAAAGGATGGTCGTTTTGAGTAGTTGTGATGTCGCCGAACACCTGCAGTACCCGATGCTCGAAAGTGATGAGGGGCACTTTAGCCCCAGAGATCAGATATGTACTTTTGAATAGGCTGTTTTCGTTCACCATTAGCTGCTGCAATCTCCTGAAACAAACATAGCCAACATGGTATTGGAAAAGCGTGGACAAAAACAAGGAAATCGGAAAAACATGATTGACTTGTTTTTAAACATTTTCGAACAATTTAAAATATTTTACATTTTTATTAAGTTTTGAATTTCAAAGAAAAAATTAAATCACATAATACTCTTTGAATTTCCAGAAAGTTTTATGACTGGCACTTTTTTCATAACGTTAGATCAATTTGAGAAAACTGGATCAAACAATTTTTCATTCCACTGGAAAATCTATAGATTTAAATCCACTTATAATAAATAATCAAATTCATTTTCAAGAAGGGAATAGACGATTATTATTTACATAAAACAAAACAATAAAAAAAATCCCATCTTTGAAAACACCAAAGTCCAATGATCAAATAACAGAAAAAGCAAAAACTCGTTTTTTGCATTTCGAATTGAATTTAGTTTCGAATTGAATTTAGTTGACTGTTAAGAAAATTCAATAAAGTCTCAATTAATTTTTTAATTCTAAGATTAAATGATTAAATATTGAACGAAACCTATTTTTCAGTTTTTTTTGGCTCGTTATTTTTTCTGTCTTTTGTAACTTGAATTTGAGAATGATTACTCCGTTGGTTATCAATGATTATTTCATTGATTAGAAAGCATGAGTGATGCCTCCTAATGATTTTCGTCATTAATTTCAATAGTTTATTTATTTGCAACTACCTAACAACAAAATATTGTCTTTTAGTGTTTACAGTCTGCTTTTCGTAAATTAAAGCAATTTCAAAGTACCAGCTTTTGTTGTTTTGCAATTTTCACTTATTCGGTTTTAGTAGCATATATCAGTACAGCATAAAGATATATTGGTTGAAAATATTTTGCAAATGATTAAATGTTGGTTTTGAGTAAATATTTGACGCAAATGCTATATAAGGGATGCACATTCGAGACTAAAACTCATTCACGTGCCTTCGCGCTTTTTGTAGATTTGTGATTGGGGAACATTCCTATTTAACTTACTTATAGTAAATGAAATTGAACTTTGAAAAACCGAGTAGTAAAAAAACTATAGCCTCCCTACATTGTTATTTTACTATTATGAAGGGAGACCTATAATGGTTGCGTTACCAACTCCCTGACGCAAACATTTTGGCGTAGTTGACGAATGCTGTGAAAACGCAGAATATTCCGGTCACGGTGATTAAGAAGGGAAACTCAAAAAAAGTAATATTAAACAACAAAATCGAATATATATCATAAAAATTATCAAGTGTTTTCAATTTTTTTTCTAACTCCTTTGCAAGGCAATTGAATAAGAACACTGGAAATTAACGTAAAAACTGTTGCAAATCAAACTGCGAGTTCAGGTCACGTTTAGTCATCAAATTTCGCCTTAAGTTTCTGCAGTCTGAATAGTCTGCTCACGGAAAAACTCAGACCCATTTTTCTTAGCACTCAAACAACTTTTTGAAATATTTTCCAATCAATCTCAATGATGACTGCAACGGCTTTAATATGATACCACACTTGACCCAAGTACGTTGAGATGGTAAATACCCAGCCTACGCCATAGCTCCTTCCCACTCAACGAGAGTATTCACAACAGCATTTTTCAACACAGGCGAAGCAGAGTTTTGTATCACTTGCGATACAACGCAAGAGTAGCTTTTTAAGGCGGCGAACAGAAAATGTTTTTGGATGAATGAAAAATTCAATTTCAAAAAAATAATGAGAATTACAACTACCACCATGAATAAGCTTTCAGCATTTACCCAGCGGCTATAAAACCGAAAGGTATATGAACATTGAAATTTAAAAAAAAAATTACATCGGAACCTCAACCTAAAACATTGTTATGTCTAGACCAAGTGGGACCTCCAGACATCAACCGCGTTACCTCTAGACCAAGTGAGAAGGAGACTGAAAGTTGTTACGTTTATCAAGAAAGCAAGCTCAATTTCTAACAAATTTGTGAGAAAAGATATTTACGTGAAAAAAGTCTTGTTCCCGATCACAAGACAGTTGCTCTCGCAGGTGTTAACATTCAAACCCAACTTAATTAAGGAAAATTCGATCTTTGGGACATTAATATCCTTCAGATTGTATCAAAAAATCGCCAAAACAGATAAGCAAAGAAATCAAGTCTGGAATAAAGCACCTAGAACTAATATAATTAGCGACTAATCATTAGCTATACAGCTCTGTAAAGACCACGCTATATTAGATAACAGTTGGCATTTCAAAACCATGGAAAAATTGGGCCGATAAAAACTGAAACAAAAACAACTAATCAGAAAAAATTGCGACTAGTTTTTTTGATATGATTCTATTCAAAAAGTTACTTACGGTGAAAGAAAAAGAGACGGGTCCAGTGAACTTGATTGCTAATTATGAGAGTAAGCATCAGTAAAGCAAACAAAGCCGAATATTGATTCACGTTTAATTACAGCATTTAGCCTTTTTTGCGTTCGATTTGAGGCGAGCAAATTGTGAAAAAATTATTCGTCTATCGCTTAATTCATTCAATTACTCACAAAAACGCTTTTAATTTGCTCGTTAAGTTCACTGTCTAGATCAGACCCGTCTCCTTGTCATTCACCCTTACTTAGTTCGTTATTCAAGCAAGGTAGAGTCATTTGGACACGATGTACAAGATATAGTTGACATTTGAAAAAGGCGAAGAAGCGAAAACATTTGTGCCGAAGCCACGAATTTCAAAAAAACCGACAAGTTTTCATCATGTTTCATTGAAAACTTCATTAAAACGTCAAATGAACGAGCCGTCATTGAATTTTCTAGAAAACGAGCATTGCCGCATGTACTTGCACATAACATCAAAAGTGAGAAAGTAGCAGATTTGAGAAAATTTTTGATAAAAAAAATTTTGTTAGCGAATACAAGACACTTGCTCTCGCAATTTTAAGAAAATCTGGCTGCATGAAAACAAAAATTTGGTTTTGGAGGTATTTCTGGTGTGCCAATCAAGCCTAGGGCGAAAATCTTTTTTGTAGCTTTCTAAAAAGCGCAAACAAAAATCAATTCTTGGATTCATAATTAAACATTAAATTCTTCCGACATTGGGTACCCCTTCAACAAACTTTCTTTCCTCATTTAGAGGAACTTTCGAAATTCATCTGGCTGCATGAAAACAAAAATTTGGTTTTGGAGGTATTTCTGGTGTGCCAATCAAGCCTAGGGCGAAAAGCTTTTTTGTAGCTTTCTAAAAAGCGCAAACAAAAATCAATTCTTGGATTCATAATTAAACATTAAATTCTTCCGACATTGGGTACTCCCTCACCTAACTTTTTTTCCTCATTTAGAGGAACTTTCGAAATTACTCAGCTATAAAAACGAAATTTATCTCAGACATTAAAAACTAACAAAGGGATTTTTGAATTGTCAGACATTTTATATTTCGACTCGGTAACTTTTCAGTTCCTTTTCATATAAGGGAAAGACATTTGAAGATCTAGCTAAGCTTTAAATTCTCGCGAATTGGTTTTGAGTTCAAAAATTCACTCAATTTTTAATCATTTCTACTTTAGCTATTGCTTCGATTTAATTGTGCTAAAATAGAATACACATGCGAAGCAGAGCTTCGCGCTTTTTGTGATACAATTGAATGAATTTCACAACTTGCAGATGAACTAACGAATCGAAAATAAAAAAATAAACTTGAAAAACTCGAAAAAAAAACGATCTCTTGTAACTGAATTACCTGCATCTTTAGAAAATTTACAAACGGAGGCGAAAGGAAACTTCAAACTACCTGCGATATAAAACATACATAGTAAGACAAACTAATCGACGAAAATAGAAATGAAAGCGACAGAAAAACTAAGAAAAAATGTTTAAAAAAAGATCAAAAAATTTATCTACAAATAAGTTTCCTACATTTGTCGTGAATTTTTTTCAAGAAAATAAGCCAAAAAATAAAACAATTGAAAGTTAAAAAAAATCTGAACAAAACTTCAAGGCTTTAACAAAGCCGATGTTTTTGAGCATACACACGTTGCGCCGAAAGAAATTATTTTTATACGAAAACTCAAATTGCTTTAAATCGCTCTCAAAAATGTTTAGATAACACCTTTTTTGCTTCTCAAACGACTCAAAAAGAATCCTGTAAGTTGATATCTTGTAAATCAAGAGAAACAAAAAAGTAAAAGAAGAGCAAACAAAAAAGAATATAAACGGACAAACTAAAATCGGAGTTGTTAATTTTACAACCAACATCAAAAACAAGTTTCAAATACAACGTGCACTTGAAATGCAGACATGCACATGCTCAAAAATTGTTTGTTGGTTTACGAAAGTACAGATGGTGAACACCAATTTCAGTCATCCTGTGAACAAAGTTGTTACGAGAAAAAATGAAAATCCCTTGCTTCTCGAAAAGGTTAAAATGCATGGAAAAGAGAGCTTCAAAAAAATGAAAACTCGTGATAACAAAAAAGGCCTAAACAATCACTCGCAGGGGTCGTATATTTTTTTTAATCGCACTTTTAGAAACAAATGGGGGTCGGCCAGCCAAGATTTCTGTCGTAAAAAGGTACCAAATAGGCCTTTCAGCGGCGAGCGGGTCGAATCTCTGAAGGGGTTGGCGTCTCCTCACTATCGCTGAATCCGTCCCCTGATCACTGGTATAAAAACGAAACCGCTTTGAAAACTTGGGTAAAAAGAGTCAATGAACGCAATTAAACATAAAAAATACGCACTTATTTTTTAAAGCTCTAGCTTCGAACTTCCGATAAAAAAATAGATAGCCGTAAAGCTCTTTGAATTTCTAGAATTTATGATTGACTCTTTTCTGATAAAACTGACTCAATTTGAGAAAACTGGATCAATAGGTGAAGTTTTTATTTGGCTGGGAAACCTGATAATTAAATTCCCGTTTTCGAAACTAGATTTGAATTTAGAAAGAAATCGAAAGTCAAACCGCAAAAAAGAATATATATTTGAACCTGAAAATTTTTAGAACTTTGCCTGAAAAAAAAACAAAAAACAAAGCTTTCAAATGTAAAACCAAAGAAGAATAGCCAATTACTGTGCAAATAGCACAGAATATTCAACTAATAAAAAATTCTGACCACAAAGAAATTCGTAAATGGGGAAAATTTTTGACAAAAAAAAAGAAAACAACTTTAAACTAAATTTTTCGTATATTTTTCTAGAATGGGTAATTGAAAAATGTGGGCATGAGTGGCAATACTGGCTAAAATATCGCAAAAATAGAGGTCAGTCTCTTTTCAACTAGTCTCTTCAGTGCCTCTATAGTTCTACGACTTTTTGTAGTTTTAAATTGATTTATTGAGAGAAATAGCAATACCAAACTAACATGATATGCATACAGAAAATGAAACATTTTGTCTGTATTGAAACACAACAACCGATACGACTGTAATGAAATAAAAAACTATATATCAGGCAATTAGGACGACAGAAATAAAACCGACATCGAATAAGTTGAAAAACAACCGAAATGCATCCGGAACCGCATGCAATAAAATGGAAAGTGCAAAGACAAATTTGTATAAATTTGGAATTTCGGAAAGTGCGGATTTTCTGTCAATATACTAAGGCCAAAACAGCCGACTATAAAAGAAGCAATTGAACGAGAAACCAACCTTAATGATGCAGAACCGCCTTTGCTGTAAGCTACGTGGAAGGCTAAGTCAACGTCACTGCTTTCACTACCAAATCCATTAACCAAAATTCACAGCCATGTAAAATTTTCACACTATCGCTAAACAGCAATCAAAATCTGCACACACCTGCACCTTTGAATTCTTGCTTTCCAAGCCAATCATTTAAAATTTCTTTTGTCCTATTCAATCAGGAAATTGTCATGCAGCATTTTGATTTATATAATAAATATAGTATATTAATAACAATATTTGCTTTGTTAAAACTTCTTTTTCGTGAATCCAAGTTTCACCCGGATCCACGCTCAAGCCCCCCTTTCCCTCTCAAGACTCAAGATCCATTCGAGCCACCTGCTCATCTCGCACTCTTCGCCTTGGAGGTACTGCACCCTGAAGTACTAGATACGGCAAACTGTCTCAACAGTTCCTCTTCATCATCGGAGCTAATCACAATCTCCTCCCAAGCCTTCAGCTGCTCGTAGGATCGCATCCATTCTCTTTGCTCTTGCAACCTCTTTGCTTGGTTGGGTAGTGCCTTCACCCTAGATTCCCGGTTCAAACAAAAGGAGTTGTGCAGGCTCAAGCTCACGTTCTTCGCCAGGTCCTCCTCTAGTATCGATTCCCTCGCCTTGGTATTGTCTCTAGACATTTTACCCACTCTCTTCCATCCTGTCGTGATTGCATTACGATGGGTTAACAGGGGTCTCTTGAAAGCTTCCGGCCCAATCTCGACCACAAAGAAATTCGTAAATGGGGAAAGTTTTTGACAAAAAAAAAGAAAACAACTTTAAACTAAATTTTTCGTATATTTTTCTAGAATGGGTAATTGAAAAATGTGGGCATGAGTGGCAATACTGGCTAAAATATCGCAAAAATAGAGGTCAGTCTCTTTTCAACTAGTCTCTTCAGTGCCTCTATAGTTCTACGACTTTTTGTAGTTTTAAATTGATTTATTGAGAGAAATAGCAATACCAAACTAACATGATATGCATACAGAAAATGAAACATTTTGTCTGTATTGAAACACAACAACCGATACGACTGTAATGAAATAAAAAATTATATATCAGGCAATTAGGACGACAGAAATAAAACCGACATCGAATAAGTTGAAAAATAACCGAAATGCATCCGGAACCGCATGCAATAAAATGGAAAGTGCAAAGACAAATTTGTATAAATTTGGAATTTCGGAAAGTGCGGATTTTCTGTCAATATACTAAGGCCAAAACAGCCGACTATAAAAGAAGCAATTGAACGAGAAACCAACCTTAATGATGCAGAACCGCCTTTGCTGTAAGCTACGTGGAAGGCTAAGTCAACGTCACTGCTTTCACTACCAAATCCATTAACTGAGCTTCCAAACAATTGGAGAATCGGAGTCAATTTTCCTCTGTCCTCGCTGAACTTATTGGACACTACAAGACTTACTAACTCTTTTAGCTGTTCTTGTACAAAATAACTTTCTTCAATTCTATTACTAGCAGCTCCATTTGAAAGAAAATTCCGATGTATTTGATCGCTAAAACTCATCTGTGATAATGTCTTTAGATGATGGAACGAATTATTTTGACTATTTTTAGTGCTCAATTTCCTGGAGACATTCTTCGCTGATTCATGAAAGAAACACATTCTGAACATACCATTCGTATCTTTTAAAATATTCTCAGCGTCCTCTGGCGCACTGAAAGTAGCAAAAGCAGATGTTTTTCCGTCGCTATTTTCAACATCTCGAATTTTAACAACATTTCTTATCCCAACTTTGACAAAAATATCCGTCAAGGATGCTTGATTAAGGCCTGGAAATAGTACACTTTTCTTGGCAATTTGGTGGTGCTTATTATTAGCTTGATTAAAAGTCTTCATTAGTCTTCTGCACCAATGACAACTTTGGATCGGAGACCTCGAATACAAAACTCCATTCCTCGATAACATCACTGAGAACCCCACGTTTTTTACATACAGTCACATCGACGATGACAGGCATATCATTCTAAATTTGACAAGCATAAGATAGTCTTATGCGTCTATGTCTCGAAAAATTGTCTCTAATCACATAACGCCATGATTCAACAACCAAGGCAAAACGGGGTTTACAGCAATTAATCCATTCGCCCGGCAGATACATACTGACGGAAAATATAACTTAACACTCGGGAAAAGAAATGCAATTATTTAAAAATTGGATATTTAAATCGAGTGCGAGCATCGTTACACAGTTAAAATTAAAAATTGCATTTAACGCATCTCCGGTGCTTCGCATTTTTTTCGACAACTAATGAAAAACCGCATATATTGGTGTGTACTCTGACTGCACCAATAACAGGGTTGGCAATTTCAAAAATTGATCATTTTTTCTTAATTCCCATTTTGAAAACCCATAAAAACGTCATTGTACCAGTCGCCTACTTAATTCACATATGAGGTTAAGGAAAAATAGGCCCTATAACCATTGGCTCAAGAGTCGGGGACACTATCTCTTGTGTTTTTCCACCTCAAGCGGTCGGAGCCAATTCTGTTCACTTGCGACATGAGACTAAAACCTTTGTTACAGCTTAAAAGCCACTACCAAAATACCCCCCACTCTAGAAAACAAGAACGCCCCCATACTTAGGTCTCGAAATACCTACACTACACGAACGCCGTTAAAAACAGGGTCGAAACCTTATGTATAGGTACTCTTTATTAGACAGTGGAACTTTTATCCATTTCAGATGAATCAACCTAAAAACTCTCCTTAACGTATAACATAACAAACAAAAATTACAGGCTAAAAATAACAAGTTCAGAGATAAAAAAATGTCTTCGAGACAGTCTGACTCCTTGAGTGTGCCGACAACCGAGGCAGCATTTCCAATTTGCAAAGCTATGGAAATTCTCTGCTTTAAAAACGAGGAAGCGCGGGGTTCGAAAGAAGTCTTAGCCAGTCTTCTTCCTAAATCACGCAAGAAGATCTCGGAATTGCATGTCTCCTTAACTCAACATAACAATATAAATTACACTCAAGAAAATTAAATTTGGTACTCACATACCGACACGTCCTCTAGAATCGAGTAACTAAACTATAAAGCAACTCTAGAACTAATGGGTAATTAAGTTTTAACTCGAGAAGTTTGTACTGAATAAGTTTTAGCTCAAGAAATAAGTTGTAGGTCTGGACCATTGGGAGACTTCAGTTGCCCACCTTTCCTCCGAAGGTTCACTCTGGTCCACTCGAATTTCACTCTCATTTCCTTTTCTGTCTCCTGCCACGAATAAGACGGCTGTACTCTCGTTCAAATTATGTATCGGAAATTGCGAATAGCAATTTCCCGCTGCTATTTTTGACTACTTTCCCGCGATTGTAGTTCGAATCTTCTGATCTTATTTTTCTGATATTTTCAGTTGTCGCGAGAAACTTGAGCATGACATTCTCAATTCAAATTTTTGAAAAGTTTCATTTCACCCAAAAAATCAGGACTGAACATTTTTTCAAGGTCAAACTTCCAAATTGTAACATTCGTCTACTGCAGTCACACATGAGGCTTAAGAAAAATAGGCCCTATAACCATTGGCTCAAGAGTCAGGGACACTATCTCTTGTGTTTTTGTACCTCAAATCAGTCGGAGCCAATTCGGTTCGCTTGTGACATGAGACTACGACCCATTACAGCTTAAAGGCTACTACTAAAATATCCCCCCACTCTAGAATTAATAACGTCCCCATACTCAGGTCTCTAGATACCCAAAATACATGAACGCCGTTAAAAACCGGGTTGGAACTATCCGTTAAGTTACTTTTTATTAGACAGTGGAACTTTGATCCATTTCAGATGGATCAACCTAAAACTCGCCTTACCTCAACATAACAATTATAAAACACACTCTAGAAATTTAAATTAGTACTCACATTGTAGCACGCTCAAGAACCAGGAAGTAAATAAGTCGGTAAGCAACTCAAGAATCAATAAAGTAACTAAGATGAGTTTAATGTTAGTCAGTTTCAATAACAAAACAAGTTTTTTACTCTAGACTGTGAGTTCTCGTGAACCATTGGGACACTCTAGCTGTCCACCTTTCCACCTAAGGTTCACTCTGGTCCAGTTAATAATAGTACTCCAGTCACAACAATCCAGTTCGTGGGAATGCGCTCGTCTCTGTTTCAGATGGGACAGCTCTACTCTCGATTATTATTGCTACTGAAATTGCGAATAGCAATTTCCCACTGATTTTTCTAGCAACTTTCCCGCGATTGTCACTCGATCGTTCTGACTTCTCTTTTCTGATTTTCAGTTATCGCGAGAAAATCGTGCATGACAGGTTCCATTCGAAATTTTGAAAAATTAAATTTCACTCCAAAATTAAGTGCTTTTTGCTTCTCTCAAGGTCAAACTTCCAAATATGACCGACTGGCACATACTCCCCGGACTCGAGATCGATGTCCTCATCGCGTGCTGTCTTCTGCCAGTGAGTCCCAGAAAACCGAGTGTTACTCAAGATACAGTGCCAGTGGTCATTTACAGAAGTTTGCAGCAGACTTAAGCTTATCTACACCCCAAAATTCACAGCCATGTAAAATTTTCACACTATCGCTAAACAGCAATCAAAATCTGCACACACCTGCACCTTTGAATTCTTGCTTTCCAAGCCAATCATTTAAAATTTCTTTTGTCCTATTCAATCAGGAAATTGTCATGCAGCATTTTGATTTATATAATAAATATAGTATATTAATAACAATATTTGCTTTGTTAAAACTTCTTTTTCGTGAATCCAAGTTTCACCCGGATCCACGCTCAAGCCCCCCTTTCCCTCTCAAGACTCAAGATCCATTCGAGCCACCTGCTCATCTCGCACTCTTCGCCTTGGAGGTACTGCACCCTGAAGTACTAGATACGGCAAACTGTCTCAACAGTTCCTCTTCATCATCGGAGCTAATCACAATCTCTTCCCAAGCCTTCAGCTGCTCGTAGGATCGCATCCATTCTCTTTGCTCTTGCAACCTCTTTGCTTGGTTGGGTAGTGCCTTCACCCTAGATTCCCGGTTCAAACAAAAGGAGTTGTGCAGGCTCAAGCTCACGTTCTTCGCCAGGTCCTCCTCTAGTATCGATTCCCTCGCC